TTTTATTTTCTTAATTAATTATTGATATTTATTAAAATATGTTCAAAAAATTGCATTAAATTATTTTGAAATGTGGAAAAAACGAATTGGCATAAACGAACTCATTTACTGTGGCATAATAATGTTTTAACTAACATAATTATGCTTATAATTATGTAGGTATTGTGATATGTATATTACTAATTTTGCTAATATAATTATCTATTTTTAGTATACTGTCTTTCCTCAAATTACTTTCATTAAGTTCATTAATTTATTTTGACATGTGACATAAATTTTATTAATGAATTTTATAAACGAACAAGTTTGTTGAGCGGTAATGAAATTTAATCTATTATAATCAAGTATAAATATTCATATGGGTCAAAGTATTCAATGAGATCAGAAAACTATATGCTATTGCTAATATGCCAAATAGTAAATTATAAATATTATCATATTAGTAATTTTATATACATATTTCGTTATATATAGTTATCTATATCCCCCATTTACATATAAGAGCTGCGAAAACAAGACGTAAGATCATACTAATTTATAGACGGAATTTCAAATTATAGGTCTATGAGTTCAAGTTTATTATACATAATAGTTGGGTTAACTGGTTGGTGGGCTAATATAGAAGACAAATGTTGATGAATAAGATTGATATTATATGGTATATGAGTAACAGCTGTCATCTAAATTCTTTCTATATTTATATACCTATAGATATTATCTAGTCCAATGTATTTTACTTGATATATGAGCAACAAACTGCGACATTTCTTAAAACAATATATTCATAAAATTATAAACTAAGGACATACTTCATATAATACACAGGTAACATTTACAAGTAACTTCCTAGAAGTCACTTAGTTCCACTGGACATTATCAAAGGCTTTCTTCATTTAAGTCAATTAAATTTGGTACAGAAATTAAATTGACTTCTACATTTCTATCCAATAAATATCTTCCTTTTTTGATCACAAATATTTTCAATTACACATCTCCTGAAAAATCTGTTGTACTCTTTATAAGGGTATCAATACGAGGTACAACAAAGCGAAGGCAAGTCAACGAGCAACCCGCGCAGTTCATTCAAAGAAACATTGCGTCCAGATCGATGACTGGGGACAGTCTATGAAAAAATAATTAAGTAGCCATTGTGCGGCGCACACTATCAATTATAGTCTTAGGAGCAGTTGTTGTCGTTGCCATTGCAATGGCCTGTGGCAGTGGCAGTTGCAGTTGCAATTGATGCTGCTGCTGCTGCGGCATCTTGTAGCCGGCGTTGTTAGCTGTCAAATGTAACAAATGTCAGGCAAACGGCGCAGCATAAAAAACTGGATCACGGCTGTGGCAATTGTTTGTCAAGTTCGGCGGGGCACACGCATCGGTGGCAGGCTAGACGCACCACTGCGTGGTTGCATTTATGAAGTGTCAAACTGACAAGTTCCAGCGAGCTGCGCGCTGTTGTTTGTTGTGTTCCGTTTATCTAGGCGTTCGACGCTAACAAGATACAAAACACAATGCGACACAATCGCCTGAGAAAGGGCTCATCTGATGCTCTCTCTCTCTCTCTCTTGCTCTCCCTCTCCCTCTCTCTGCATCTTTAAGCAGCCCTTCTTCCATTTGTTTTTGTTTGCTTTGAGCTGGGCTAAGCTGCTGCTGCTGTTGCCCTGAGCTAAATATCCTGTTGGCTGAGCAGCCAGAGTTCAATTTGCAATGTCAATATTGATTTTGTAATGGGCTCAGCTTGTCGCAAGCTAAAAGCAGTTTCCTGCAGGTGATGCCGGCTCATCTCTTGGTGCCCACTTAATCATTATAATTATGGCATAGATGTGCCCTGCCGGCTGCTGTTAATCTCGGCAGCATCTCTCGCACAGTAGCGAGCTCAAATCCCGAACCAAATCAATATTCAAATTGTGGCTCAATTCGAAATTTGCTAACTTCACGCAGCGTCGCAGAGAGTCAGAGCCAGAGCCACAGCCACAGCCACAGCCACAGCCACAGCCACAGCCATTCCAGAAATCGTGATAAACGTCAAAATATCACGTTGTGCGAGTGCCTTGCCCGCACTGGAAACAATGGGCCACAGCGAGCCGCGATGGAGGCGTCGTTGGCGGCTTTTGTCGACATTTAGGCGCGCTAAAGTGTTCAACTTGGCGTTCAACTTGGCCGAGGACAGCACCCGGCCGAGGCACACATCCCAGATCCCCGATCCCAGGCTCACTGTGGCGGCTTCTGCGCAATTGTTTCGCTTATCAGCGATGTCGGGCCATGGCAGACACAGCGCCAACGCCGACAGCCGTTGCGGCACGATCCACCGGCCTTTGTTTTCACTGTGCTCAGGCCCATGTCTGGAAATTTGTTTATTGTTTTGTAATGAGTTTAGCAGGCCTGAATTTGCGGCATCTTTCAGCGACGGCAACGGCGACGGCATTCGCGGAAATCATAACCAGCAAATTGAGGGCCATGTCGTCTAATTGGCAGAACCAACGGCAGCAGCACCGCCAACCTACATGCATATGCCAAGGCGGTCGGGTGGTTCGACTGGCTGACGGACTGGCTACACGTAATTACCAAATTATAGCGCCAAATATGTGCCGGTCACGCTGTGCGAGCCATTTCCCACTGGCGGCCATATTTGAATGCTTTTCAACACTTGCGATGACAACACTGAAACCAAGAAAAAAATGCCACTCGCCCCGTCATGCATGGAAAATTTATCAGTGGTTGCTCTGGCTCCACCTCGGCATGAAAGCCATTTAAAAGTCAAGTGGAACTGGGAACTCGCAAAATGGCAACACAATTCCGAAATGGTGACTGAAACGTGGCTACTTTAGTTGTTGTCATTAACTAGTTTAATTGGCAGCACATTTTACGCTCTGTTTGAACATGTAGTTCCCATTATTAAAGGCCTATCCTCCATATTGTGGGCTTTCACCTTATTAGCAAATACTTTGCCATGCACACCTGTATGTCATGGTCTAATTGATTGCCTTTTGGTTAGTTATTTTCTACCTTAAATAACATTTGACTCTTCAAATTTGATCACTTAAAATAATTGAAAGTTTTCCAGCTCATTATTGTACAGTTGGAAATGGAACTTCAATATATTAAAATATAAAGATTAAAACCTCAATTTGACTTTTACGTAGCTCTAAGCTCGAATTCCGACATTATATACATACATTTTTGTTTACTTTATTAACTGAACTTTTATTCGACATTTATTCCTAAGAACAACCTGTGGATAATTCCATTAATAAAAATTTCGAGAACATGCACTTTGATGGAAATTTAGTGTAATAGAAAATGTATTTTATAAATCAGTTAAGACTCTTTCTTAAAGAATTATTTGTAATTATAATATCTAAAATTTAAGTAAGAATTAACTGAAGTCGATGTCGATAGTAATCAATATGATATCATGATAATAATGATGAAGGGGTAACTGAAGTGGTGTGGATATTAGATGAGCCTGTGGAGTCTTGAATAATGAAAATATATGCATATGCACAAAAAGATGAGAATTAAAAAAGGGAAAAGTAGAGGCGGGTGTAGGTGTGATTTAGGCGTAAATGAGTACGGACTTTGAAATATTTAAGCTCGGAGCACTGCATATTATATAGACAAGTCCTTCGGCTTAACACAAGTTGATGTGGAGTAATTCAAACCTCAATATAGGATATATTGTGACAATAAGATTTTGTGTGTTCGAACGTCGAACATTAGGCTTTTGGGACAGTGAATAATTCTAGGCTAATGAGTTGGGCGTCTCGACTGTATTGAGTTGTTTACAGAACAGAGATGACTCTACTTCTTAATAATGTTCACTTTAGGCCTTTTTGGTAGGATCTAAATGAATATCCAAAGCCAGCACACATCTCAATTTGTATATAATTTTAATTTAAGTCAAATTTTTTCCTAAACATATCAGCAATGAATTTATTAATTGATCACATCGTAGCGATATGCTTAAGTATTATATCTGATTTATTTATTATGTGAACAACCCTTACAGACTTCCTGCTGCAACCGTTTCGCAAGCCAAAGCGGGTGCGCACCGCCTTCTCGCCCACGCAATTGCTTAAGCTGGAGCACGCCTTTGAGGGCAATCACTATGTGGTGGGAGCGGAGCGCAAGCAGCTGGCCCAGGGACTCAGCCTGACGGAGACACAGGTAAGCAGGGCAGACAAACTCCAAGCCGTAAGAGGCCGTGCAACCCTTTCGATGGCCGCGCTTAATGCGCATCAAATTCAATAAATGCCTTGCCCAATTGGCCAGGCTCAAACCCGGGCTGGAGTGGAGCAACCCCTGGCCGAGCGTTAAGTGATTGCATGTCAGCTGGTAGTTAGCCCGCCAAGTACCGGGAGTTACCAAGTTATTAGCGCTAAGAGGGAGCACCAGCGGCTGGGCGGAGAGACAGTCCTTTGGGCATAGCTAGGCATAGCTGGGCATAGCTGGGCGGCAGGCGCAGGCAGGCAGATAAATAGAATTAAAAGACTCGTTAAATTTATTTACGAGCTGCCGCCCCGTCGCAAAGGGTTGAGCGGCCCAAACAGTGCACCGCACTTAAGTGAGCCAAACTCAATTGAAGTTTATGTGTTTCTCGCCCGGACAGGTCAAAGTGTGGTTCCAGAACCGCCGCACCAAGCACAAGCGCATGCAACAAGAGGGCGGCGACAGCAGCGATGCTAAGAGCAACAAGGGCAGCTCCTCGGGCGGCGGCGGTGGCGCCGGCTGCGATGGTGACGAGGATGCCAAACATGATGGCTCCCAGCATAGCTCCACGGATGTGGAGGACGACGAGGACATTGAGGAGGATGACGAGGACGAAGTGATTGACATGGACGACTATGGCAGCGACCTGGATGCTGAGGAGCATCAGCGCCTGCGCGAACAGTTCCAGCAGCAGCTTGCCCAGCACCAGCAACAGTTGCTCCAGCAGCAGAACGAGGCAGGCGTCTTAACGCCGCAGCAGCAACAGCAATTGCTGCACCATCATCAGCAACACCTGCAACAACAGCAGCAGCAGCAACAACAACAGCAGCAACACTTCATGCAGCAGCAACAAATGTATTTGCTTGAGAAGGAGCGGGAGCGACAAAGAGATCGAGAACGGGAACGATCTCGGGAGAGAGAGCATGAAAAGCAGTAATGCCCATTGAAATTCGGAGTTGCTTTTGATTGGCCTAAAGTGTCAGCTAGTTTGTGTTCCTTTGATTTGTAAATGACTTAAGTTAAAGTGTATAAATTAATTTAATATACATACATATATATACATATATAAACATATTATAAATTAGCAAAGATCAGACTTGAGATTGAGTCTGAATATGAGTAAAAATTTCTTGCAGCTTTCAATTTGAACGGAAAGTAGAAAGTGAGTTAGAGCTGCAAAATCAGCGATGAAATCTCCTTTCGATGGTTTCGCTCTACTCGATGATTTCAGCAATCGATACTTGTGATGGTTGCATTGTTCGACCACTAAGGAGTTGCACGGTTAGTGATTTCAGTTATCCCCTAAGTGAAACGATATATCGACATCGAACAAGATCCTTTGAACTATCGCAAAATTGAATTCCCATCGCTACTATCGATGGAACTATCGCCGGTTTTACCTGCTCTAAGTGAGTAGTTTATGAAAATGATTTACTATTCTGCTAAACTGAAGGAAAATTATATTGAAAAAGTTCAGCAAAGGATTTGAATTAACAGAACAGGCTGAAGTTTGAGCACAATTGCAGATAATTAATATATAAGAGAAACCAACTCGATCCGGTTAGTTTTTACTAAAGCAAAGTAAGCAATTTGCTATTAGCTGGCAGCCTGGCACCCTTTCTCTATTCAATAATCCGCAAACGTTAACGAGACCATAATAAATATCGATCAGCTGCCAACGAGCAAACAGTTAACATTTCGATGACTTTCCAAATGCTAACAAGCGCCCTTATTGAGTTGTTGTTGATGGTTGATGGTTGWTGTGGTCCGTACCCCTTTGCCGAGCCATTTGGGTAGGCTGTGTGCCAAACGTTGACAGTAAAAATGCAATCAACAATTACGTATTTCGAATTACGAATTACGGTCTCATAAAGCGGCCAAAAAATAAACGTCAGTCGGTGATGGAACGACGAATTGATTGGATGCCCAGCAGACATCCATGGCCGAGCAATACATGCGAAATTGATATTAAAATGCAAACGATTGACTATCAAAATTATTTACTACTATATATAAATAAGGACTGTGTGCCCCGGGGGCGCCGGCCGACTGCCGCAATATGCATATGGAGCAGGCAGCTAATGGCCCAGCAATTTGGCGTCATTTAAACTGCAACGTGAAGTAAACCAAAAAATTAAACTGACAAAAACCGGCGAAACGGCAGACAGACAGACAGACGGGCAGAACGAGATGGCGATAGTGGTGAGCGAGTGAGCAAGAAGGAATTGTGGAAATGCCAGCGACTCGTGCCCGGCAGCTAACCCAAAGTACAATAAAAATAAATTTCGTTTTTTTTTTTTTTTTTTTTTTTTTGATTTGAGAGAGCTTCCACTGAATCGCCCCCGATACGGATCCAAGACCAGAGCTGTGTGCTGAACCAGACGAAAGTTCAAGGTAATTGCCGTTGTCAAAGCAGCGCAACGAAAAGTGGGCGTGCTCCGTGGAAACTTGGCCAACAATTTATGGGCCACTTGAGTACAAGCAAAGGGTGTTGAGGTTGCACGCGAGCAAGCACTAGGAACTGGGTGGCAAACAGGTACTCGAAGTGGTCTGTGGGGTCGACTGCATAAAACTATTCTCGTATTTTGCATAAACGATGTGAGAATTACTTAATTGCTATTAGAACGTGTGTGTGTGTGTCGGTGTATGTATGGGAGAGGCGTTTTCCAATGGCTCCATGTGTATGTGTGTGTGTGGAGAGGTTGCGAAATTTATGGGCATTTAGGCAAAACACCCAACAGAAGCCAGAACAGACAATGAAGTTGTCTACTGCAAGTGGCATGACCGACAGCGTGGAGCAGGTGAGTCCAGGTGGCTTCACTGAACGGAAGGGTTTACTATTATTACAATAAGTGCATATACACACATCCTCGATACGTACACGCCAACGCCGCTGTCGCTGGTTCGCTATTCTATTTACATATGTACATCTACATACCGAATAATCAACATTTGACAGAAACTTAGCTGACTGACGCAGCTCCAATTCAAGCAAGCAATGGAATCTCAATGCTAGAAAAGTGAATTGGATTTTATTTCTAAATATAGCTCAAGGAAAGTGTTAAATGTATATTACTTACATCAAGGAGTTTAGTTTCTTAGGCACATATTTTTAGTAAATTTATTATACAATTGCTTCAACTCAGAAACATAATAAAATTATTAAAATCATTTTTAAAATTCTTATTTTATATATGTATTCAGAAGATCTCTATAAATCGTGGGTCTTAAGATTCTTAAATTTTAACTTTAAAATCTCGCAAGAAAACTCTTGATAAGTCTTGTATAGAAAAACCTTTAACTTTTATATTTTATAAAACCCTAGCTTCATCTCGACCTCTTCTTTAAATCATGATATTTTCTTTATTGCATATTAAACTTTTGAAGCTCCAAAGAATAATTTATTTCGACTCATTGCATGAGTATAGTTTCTGTTTCATACAAATTGTTGACTATCTAGCAATATAAACATTTTCTATATCTTTACCAAGTTTTTCATTTTTCTTTGTGAATCGGTTTTTTAGCAATGGAAAAGGAATCAGCGAATTAAAATAATTATTTAGACCCATTACTCAAAAGTTAAATATTTTATTATTTGCATTATTTTATAATCCTTAATAATCTTAGCTTAAAGTCGAGTTAATAAATATTTTATACAAATTTTAAGTTTTATGCGTTTCTAAAGAACCCTTCATATCTATTACTATTGCCAATTCTCTGGTATATATTTTCCACCTATAACAGAGGATCCAATAAGTAAATTTTTCTGAAAACAAGTTAGGGCAAAGAAACTGAAATGTTTGGCTAAATATGTTTGCAAAGCCGACAAAGTATTTCGTTTGATTTTGGCGTGTCTACAACGACGGCAACGACTTTGAAAGCAAATTTGACGGAGCAAAGGGCAGGTAGTGTGAAATGGCTATCAGCCAAGTCAACAGTCGCTCCGCCAACAACTCTGAGCCGGCCCAGTGCCCAGGCAAGAGGCAGGCAGGCACTTGGAGTATATTAAGGGCGTCATTAGTGCTGCAGGCAGCGCAAATTTGACAACAGCAGCTCAAGTGAGAATGACTACGGCAATGGGCATGGGCATTGAGGGGAGGACGGTGTGATGGGCTGACACATGCTGCAGTGCAGCGGACGTGCCGGCGACAGCGTAGGCGTCCCGGTAGTTGGCCTCTTGTTGTTTTATTTCATTTTGTTTTTTATTCTTTTTTTGCCGCTTGCTGTTTTGTTGTTGTTGTTGCTCTTGACTTTTGCTATTTAGCAGCCATTTGTATGGCAAGAGGCGGTAGCTAATGCGGAGGCAGCCAAATGCAAACGGAATTGCAGTTTAAACTTCATTTGGCACATTTTACGAGCCAGCCCGCAACGTGGGCGGTCGATTGGCGCTGCCGTCGATTAATAAAGAAGCCGAGCTGCAACTACAGTTTGGAGTGTGAATGCGAATGCGAGTACGAGTGCAAATACGTTCAATACCAATTCTTCTGACACAATTCGCTAAGGAGACTCCGCTTGGGCCATAAATCAGCAGACAGACACGGTCGAAGACTCTCGGACTCCCGGACTCCCAAGCTCTTGGCACCTATGTATGTATGAGCCAACGGGCTAGTTGCATTTTTGTGGCGCCTCTTGGCGGCACATAAATTCAATTGAAATGAGCAGAGCGCCGCCAAGTCGCCAGCTTTAACTACTTTTTGGGCCCAGCCCGAGCCRGGCCAGGCCAGGCTAGACCCAAAATGCCCAGCAAATGCGTTCGGGCGTCAATTGGCAAATTGGATTCCATGACAGCCAGGAGGAAAAGTTAATTTGCAGCAGCCATAAATAACACACAGATCAAACTGCGCCCAAATGAAGTGTGTGCACCAGGAGAAAGCTGGACGGCTTGGCCACAAGAAATGCGATCACTGCGATACAGCAGCCATTTTCATACTCGTTCGCATGGCCCAAGAAGGAGTTGCATGTGTAGCTCTAAGCAGTAGTCGTCTATCCGTCTGTCAAGGGTGACTGCAAAATTGTAATATACACTGAATACGCAAAATTGCAATATCTATGTACTCTACACATCAGGGGTAGCCCCAGAGCTGCCTATCAACGCGGAATGCCTCAAGACAATTTTAGATGCTTTTAATACAATAAACTAGCATAACCCAATCAACTGATAAACCTGCTAATAGTGTTTGATTTTTATATTAAATAATGAAATGGTTTGTAAAAAGACTTCTTTCGAAAATCAAAATTATTATATAAAAGTATAGAACAAATTCAATAATGTTTTTATTTTTATTTTTATTTTGTTTTTTAATATGCAAACATCTTTCAGAACAATGTTGTCTTATTTTGGTTTGGAATAAATTTTAAAGCTATTTAAATACAATCTTAATAAGTTTTAACGTATTTTCTTTTTTGGCAACGATTTTTGTATATATGAGTTAACTTTAAATCTTTTTTTTTTTTTTTTCAAAAATATATCACAAGAAAAATGTTCAAGAATTACCTTAAAGATTTTATTCTATAAACAATGTGTGCTGTATGCGAGCCAACATCACATTAGAGGGCTTCATAATAATCATTTAAAGGCTGCTCTCAACTGGTTTGTAAAGTTAATATTTTAAACAATTATTATCTTATCCTGTCTACTTTGCCTAATTTTTTTTTTTTATTATTATTAATTTTTAGCAATAATTTGTAAGTAGTCTTCTCTAGTATAGTATATTTATATTTAAATTAATTAAGTACTTAATCAGCTGCAAAGACACTTAATACTTTAATGAGCTTTTCGCCATTTGATTTGGTTCTCTTTTATACCTTCACTATTAATAACAAATTTATCTACCATATAAATAGTTTAATTAATTGCTTATTTAGTAAGCTGTATGTGCTAAGATGAATGCTAAGATATTACTTTGTGCTGTTATTAATGAATTGTTGGGCTGACATCGTTACAAATTATAATTGTATATATAGTATGGTTTATGGGCATTTTAAGCAAATAGAATTTAGCAGCTCGTGTGGAAAGTTTTTAGTGGCGCGTGCATTTCCCGACATCTCA